ATTAAATAATTTTAATTAGTATGATGATGATGATAGGTTGCATGGTGATATATAACACTTGAAGTATCTAGAAAGCAATTTGATGATGATAGGTTGCATTTATTCAATAGAAAAGTTGATTAACCATTTGGTTGGACCTAACATGCTACATTTGCAATTCTTTATATTATATTTGAAGAGGTTATGATTATCATTGATTTAGTAGAAAACATATCATGATCCTCAATATTATCAATTAACCATTAAAATTTAAACTCTTATAAGTTGTTGTTCATAAACAATTTTCCATATCCTAACTACTTAGTTGACTATTGATGGCATTATTTTGTTGAAATCTAGATGATATATTGCTCTCATGTGATTAAAAAAAAGACAAATCAAAGATATTTATTGAGTAATAATTATCATTTCCATCAATTCCTAACTAATTAGATTGATCTTATGAGTTGTCATATCAAATTAAAAGTTGCTAATTATTTAATGAGATTTAAATTGTTGAAGTGAATCTTAAATTTGAATGAGAAAGATTGAAAGTTGACGTTTGGTTGATTAAAAACTTTTAAATTTATATATGATGAATTTAGAGAAAATTTGGGTCAAGATATTTAAACTAATTATTTAATGTATAATTTATAGATAAATGTAGTATAAGAGTTGATTAATTAATTATATATTATATTAATATCTAAGTAAAATTTAATGAGTTGTAAATTTTCAGGAATTAATTTGATTATAACATTTTGACTTACTTTTAATGAATTTATATTTGATCTTTTATATTAGTAATTTAATTATGGAATTTTGCTCAATTAATAAATAAATAAACACATTTTAAATACAAGGATTAAAAAAATATAGTTAAGGGCTAATTTAAGGCGCGGTATGAGAGAGTCCTATCCTCTAAATTTTTAATATATATTTATATATATAAGGTACCTATTAAAAACCCTCACTTTTTAATGTATAGAAAATATTTAATTTATGTCATATATATAATTCAAATAATTTGTGTTTTCATTAAAAAAAAATTTGGCTTCGTGAAGTTTGAGCGATTAATAAATAATAATAAAACTCATCATTCAGAGCCTAAAACTGTAGGCTTGTTTCGAGCAATTTTATGAGTGCTTTTTGCTCTTCAAATTGATGTCATATATTTATTTAACTATTATTTTATTTTTACTTTTAAAAATTTTCTATAATTAAAAGCTATTTTGATGAATCATATTTACAAGAATATGATAAGCTATTAAAAAAAAAAGAAATTTATAATTTTTAAATAGCTTCAATTTTTTTTAATAATTGATTAAAAAAATATTTTAGAATATTATTAGATAAACGACATATGAACAAACTTAACATTCATCTGTTTTATATTAAAATTAAAAGGGATTTACCTACATAGCGCTCTAAACTTTTCTATTTACATATCTAACACCTAAAACTCCTAAAATACACTTCCCACACTAAAAGTACATATTCTCTCACATCTCACACTTCGTTTTGTCTCTGTGAGGCACACACGTGACAGCTCCCAACCGCTCCTAACTGTGCCACTTTCGTAGTTTGTTGCTTGTCAATTTTCCTCTGCTTCTTCATCTTCTGATGTGTGAGAACGCCCGTCGGGTCATGTTTTTCAGCAATGCTACTTCTTTATTGTTTTGCTACTCATGTGAGTTTTGAATCATGCCATAAATGTTTTTTGTCTAGCTTCTTGCCATAAGATATTCTTACTTTTTTTTTGTTGGTTAATTGTCTACCTTTTTTTTGCTCATTTTGAGTTAGTTGGAGTAAGCTTAAATGGATGTTATGGTGAATGTGGGTGAATATGTTTGTGTTACATTTATGTTTGGAGGATATTGAAGTGACGTTAAAGTTGAACGAGAAGAAAATATGAAGGTGGGAAATAAAAAATGGTGGGAAATAAAAAATGATGAAACTTCAGAATGATTTGATTAACTATTTTGTCCTCCGAAAAAAGGTTGAAATGATCTATCTATGGCTTATTGACCATGAGTTCAAGTTACACTATCATGTATGTGCTACTTCTCCCAATCTACAAGATTATTTTGAGTGATGTTGAAGTGATGCAAATGATAGAACATTGTAAAGGAAGTCAGCTGGTTGAATTTGTGTTTACAATACAAGATGATGTAGTGGTTGATTTGATCTTAGAAGGTTTGGTGCATTGTCATAGTACAAATAAAGCTATTAATATTCCTTTAAATTACATTAATTTTCAAAGCTTAAATTGTGACCATCTTATGAAACAAGTTAGTGATGATAAAGCATTAGAAGTCAGTGCTTACTTTCATGATGTTAGTAGTTTCAAGCAGTTTCTCTAATCCACCACAATTACTAATAACTTTGGGGTCAAGATTAAGGCTAGCAATAATTCTAGCGTTATAGCAACATGCTCGCATCGAGGGTGTCCTTAGAGGGTATGCACATCGCTATATAGAGATGGTCAGACCTTTGAAATTAGGAAGTTAGATGATACATATCTATATCTTGGTGTTAACAGAGTTGGAAATAAACTTACTACATCAAACTTGTTTGCTCTTGAAATATAGGATATTGTGAACAAAAATTCTGATATATCACCGTAGCACATTAATGATAGTTTGGAGTCAAATTATGATTTATCATTGCCTTATATGAGATTGTTGCACTCTAGAGAAGTAGCACGATCAATGAATTTTAGTGTTGTGGAAGTAACTAAAAATGGGGTTCTACTATGAGATGTGAGCTCATTGCTAGAAATTTGGGCTCTCAGATCACATACATTTATGATGCTGATGATTACTCATTTAAGAGGTTTTATGTAAGCTTCAATATTTGCATTAAAGGCTTCATTGTAGGTTGCAGACCCTTAATTGGCCTTGATGTTTGCCATCTCAAATCAAAGTACTTGGGTGTTCTACTATCTACCAAATCACTTGATAGTAACAATAATCTATTTACATTAGCTTTTACAGTTGTTGAAATAGAATCTAAAGATACACGACTATGATTCCCTATAAATTTGAAATAATATTTTGGATGTGAGTTATAACCACTTGCATTTATTTTAGATATGGAGAAAGGTTTGGGAGTAGCAATTAAAAATGTGTACCGTGACGTACAATTAAAAGTTTGCATGCGTCATATATGGAAGAACATGAAGAAGTACTTTCATTGCACTGATAGTTCAAGGTTGAGAAACAAGAACATTTTTATGCACTCTTTCAAAATGCATACAAAAGAGATTACATTTGCTCTTGCAAGTACAGCATAAATGTCTTCAACTCTTCATTACAACATGTTTACAAATAACATTGGCGGTAGAAGAACAATAATAACAAAAGTACATTGACGTCTGATCAGCTTCATCAATCCACCTAAGGAAATTATAATTGTATTATGTAGTATTGTGAGGGCATTGATAAAATCTTCGGCCACAATTCTCACTTCGATATATTTTAAATATCACACATTACAAATTACAATAATAGAGTTTGACGCAAGTGATTGCTTGTAGAACCTATTGAATATCTTAGACTCATTTTTCCATTTTTCAAACAGAGCATTACTTGAAAACTATACAACTTTGCAACATTACATTACAAACAAAAACTCAAATAAAAGCTCAAAGAGAATATCATAATTCATCAACATAGTCATTTCTGTCACTAATACATAGGCTCACAGTAACCAGCTGACTAAAGCCTCACACTGCGCACACATTAACTAGCTATCATTACTTACCACAACTTATAGTTACTCATCACTAAGTATCACCATAAACTGTACACAATAGTCGATGAATTTTACTATAGTTCACCAAAAAAGATCTACGATCTCTTTCTTACAACCAATCATCAACCAAATATCACCAAAAAAAAAAAGAAAAAAAGAAAAAATGATCTTTTGTTACTCATCCATACAACCAAGTATCATCAGGCTTAAACTTAGAAAAGAATGAATCAACTATAGAGATGAAGAAAGAGACTAGAGAAGCATCAGCATAATGTGTTGCCTCTCCCACACTTGATCACATTGCACTCCAATGATCCCACGTTATCCTTCATCTTTAGCGTAGGTGAGGAGATTAATCGATATGAGTCATGGTTGCAACATAGATCATTTAGGTAGGGAGCCATACAACATAAACCAAGCAGCACAACTATAGCTCTATTTTCCTTATTGTCTAGACTTCACAATGAAATACTAGGCAACTCGTGAACCCAAATCAATATGTGAAAACCAATTAACGGACTGGCGACAACAACTAGCAATCCACTTCAACACTACTAAAATTCTCACCGACAATATCAAGATAAATGGAAGATAAAATCCTTGTACAATGAACTATATCAAGCATATCCCAAATAAAAAAAAAAATTGCAGCTCAACAAAAAGCAAAAGAGAAAAAACACAATTGTCAGCTTGTAAATCATTTTTATACTATCAAATACAATTGAATCATACCAACTTCCAGAGCATTTTATACCGTCAAATGCAACTGAATCATACCAACTTCTCCCCTTGAACCAGCAAGCACAAATGCTTAAGCCAGGATAAGTTCTCATCAGAATCATACCAACTTAACTTCCCAAAATCGTGGGAGCAGCAGAATGACGAAGAAGGAGCAAGAGTACTAGATGGGATTTAGGGCATGAGAAATAGGGCATTCTCATGCATTAGAAGACAGAGAAATAATAGTAGATCGATATGCAACAAATGAAGATGGAGGCGCATATGGGAGCAGCTTTAGAGTGTAATGTGTGCGCATCACAGAGATGGAACAAAAATGTGAGATATGAGGAAATATATAATTTGTGGTATGGGAAGTGTATTTTAGGAGTTTTTAAATGTTAGATATATACATAGAGAAGTTTAAAATGCTATGCAGGTAAATCCCCCTAATATTAATGCATCTCTTTACTTTCTAATGTTGTACCAAAACGAAAGATCAAAATGACAGCTATGGTTCTTGATAATGGGCTGGCCCAGGTTTGTTTGTTAGGCCATTATTCGTGTAGGCCAATGCTCGTGGGTTCGCATTCCTCCTTCCAACTCGGCTCTCGCTTTCTCGCCGGAAATCTTGAAGGGCGTCAAAGCCCTAGCCAGGTCGGTAGTTAGAATGAGAGTCCTAACGCCTCTCTATGGTGTCTCTTCTCATCTTCTACGGGTGGTTTTCCTCAATGTCCCCGCCTTCAAGAGATCAGCTCTAGCTTCCCTGTGTTCTAACCTACAGGTTTCTGCATCGATTTGCTTGGCTGCTATTTTCATTTCTTCCATGTTGGCGAATTAGCTTTTGAGTTCATTGTAGAATAGGAATGCATCGATTTGCTTTATTGTCTCTCTTGTCTTGTCTTCAGTAGTTGCTTTAGAGTCACTGGTTAGAGATTGAACCCAGAGGAATGCATCAGCGTGTTCGCTTTGCTTACTATACCGTGACATTGGATGTTTATTTTATAGCCTTTTTGTTCTTAGTAATCCGTTGTTTTGCTTTAACTTTTCTAAGTTTATATTGGCAAAATGTTTGTCCCCCCCCCCCTCCCTCTTTTTTTTTGTTTCCTCTTTTCGCAATATGATATTTTTATATTTTTCTGATATATATATTTTTGTTCCATAGCATACTGAGGGGGAATATGCATCCTCGTTTCGGATGAACGGTCGTTGCCTTTCATCATCGTTAGTAGGTGAAGTAACTCCGAACCTTTTTGCATATATTATAATTTGTGGTTTTTTTTTTATAGGGACCCATTTTAATTTAAAATATTTATGCTTGTATATGTGATCATTAACCATTGCTTTAGAGTTGGTTGGTTAATAGTTATAACTACTTACTGTACTTTCTTGCATTTCCAACTTCAATGTGATTTGAATTTTTTAGGCCTTCCAAAATGCTCTGCATTTTTATATGCCATTTCAAAATTATCCATGCCATTCTTTCATTAAAGTTGCAAAGCTGGCAATGTAAAAAAAAAAGTATTACGAAATGAGGCATATTTTGCTTCATAAATTTATTGTGTCTGAAGTTATTTAAATATAATTTACCATTTTTATTGTTACTAAGAACTATTACTCATATAGCTCATGATTTGGGAGGTTATATGATGTGCAACAAATTTTCTTTAGCAAGTGCTTCAACAACAACGACAAGAACATCAAGCCTTTATCCCACTACGTGGGGTTGGCTACATGTATTCTTTTTCTTCATTGTACCTTGTTAAGAGTCAAGTTTTCATTTAAATATAATAAAAAAAGGTCAATTCTAATACTTTATAACCAAGTATTTTTAGGTCTTAGCAAGTGCTTCATTGCTTAAAAATGTTTAGTTGTAGTAAAGTAGGTATATAACATCATTGCCAGGTCTTAAGTACTGGATGAGAAAAATGAAGGGTTGCGTTAGGTAGTCAACAACCAGCATAATACTTGCCAAATTATCATGACATGAATCCTTTAATGTATTGTGTTAATGCTACGACATTCCCTAAAAGTGACGTGCTGTATGGCTTGAATACAACGACAAGTGTGCAAGGGCCGTTGTACCGGCTCCTGGGTGCAGTGTTAAATAGGCAAGGGTTCCCACATCATGGACGAATATGGGCAAAGAAGCTAGTCCATGAAACTAAAATTAGGATGTGAACTTAGAATATAGATTCTCTTACAGGGAAAATTAATAAAATTAATAGATGTTATGATTCATAAGAATATAAATATTCTATACATTCAAGAAACTAATTGGGTTGGAGAGAGAGTTAAGGAGATTGATAGTTTAAGATTTAAACTATGATATTCTTGTAGGAGTCGTACTAGAAATGATGTAGGTGTGATTATAGATAAGGGTTTGAAGGGTAATGTTGTAAAAATTAATAGAATTAGAGATAAAATTATGGCTTTAAAGATTGTTGTTGATGCTAAGATTATTAATATTATAAGTGCTTAGGCTCATAAAGTAGTTTTGGATGTGTTTAAAATTAAAATTTTGGATAACTTAGAAGAATTAATACAAAAGATACCTCTTGAAGAAAGAGTTTTATTGGAGGAAGTTTAAATGGACATGTTGGTAGAGAGGTAGATTATTTTACAAGCATTCATGGTGGGCCGGTGGCTATGAGTTTGAAGCGACTAATGAAGGTGGTATGACCATATTAGATTTATTTTTAGGTTATGATTTTGTAATTGCTAATACCTTATTTAAGAAAAGAGATGAGCATCTCATCACTTATAAGAATGGACATAGTAAAATTAAGATTAATTATTTACTTATAAGAAAAATAGATCGTTTAGATTACAAAGATTATTATATAGAGTGAAAGTTTATGTACATAACATCATTTATTAGTTTTGGACTTCAAGATGAATGGATAGAAATGTAGAATATAAAAAGTAAAATAAAATGTTGTTTTGGGATTAGATGGAGGCATTTAAAAAATATTAACAAAAATATTTTTGAGAGTAAGATTCTAGATCATAAGATTTTGTCTATGCATGAGGAAGCTAATATTATGTGGGAAAAATATAGTTATTGATATTAAGAATGACGCAAAAGATGTGCTTGTGGTATCAAAGAGAAAAGCTTCTAAAAGTAAAAATAGATTGTGGTGGAATCAAAATGTACACGAAAAGATAAAAATAAGAAGATTTGTTATAAACATTAGTTTATATATAAAAATAAGATATGAGAGGCCCATAAGGAATCTAAAAAAATAATATGTGATGCAAATATTTTAGCTTTTAATAATATATATAATTTATTATATACTAAGACAGGTAAAATATATATGTATAAGTTAGTCAAACAAAGAGATATGTGTAATAAAGATTTAGTTCAAGTGAAGTGTATTAAGAATGAAGATAAAAAGTGCTTTTATTAGAAGAGAATATTCAACAAAGGTGTATGAGATATTTTGCTAAACTTTTCAATGAGGATTGTGAGAATACGATTGATTTTAGTGAACTTAGTACCCTAAATGAAAGTAAATATTTTTGTTTTTACCGACATATTAGTAAAACTAAAGTTAGAGAGACTTTATAAAAAATGAAATGTGGAAAGTTGTTGGACATGATGATATTCCAATAGAGGCGTAAAAATTCTTAGGAGATGAAGGAATTTCTTGGCTTACTAAATATTTTAATATTATTTTAAAGACTTAAAAGATGTCAGATGAGTGGAGAGTAAATGTGTTGATTCTTATTTTTATGAATAAAGACGATGTACAAGATTGTGCGAATTATATATGAATTAAGTTAATGTGTCATTACTTTAAAACTATGGGGGATAGTTATGGAACATAGGTTGTGGCGTGATACTAATGTTTCTCAAAATCAATTTGGATTCATGCCGGTTAGGTCTACCATGGAAGCTATATATTTATTGAGAGGTTTGATGGTGAAGTATAGAGAGAATAAGGATGATCTACATATGATATTTATTGATTTAGAGAAATCATATGATAAAGTTTCAAGAGAAGTGCTATGGAGAGTTATAGAAAAGAAAGGGGTTAATAATGCTTATATTCAAGTCATTAAGGATATGTATGCAGGAGTTGTTATTTGTGTTCAAATACAAGGTGGTTGGACCGGGTATTTTCCTATTTCAATTTGATTACACCAAGGATCAGCCTTAAGCTCTTATCTTTTTGCTATAATCATGGATGTTCTCACTAGAAATTTGCAAGAGTTTGTACCCTAGTTTATGCTTATTGTTGATGATATTCTTCTTGTTGATAAGACTAGAGAGACAGTTGTTGGTGAACTTGAATTATGGAGGTCAACCTTAGAGTCTAAAGACTTTCGTATGAGTAGATCTAAAATTGAATATATGGAGTGTAATTTTAGTAATAATAGATCTAGTAGGTGGATTGTGACTTTGGGCGATCAAGTCATCAACAAGAGTACACATTTAGATATATTAGGTTTATTGTTCAGAGTGATGGTGAAATATATTGGGATATTATTAGTAGAATT